CACCTCCCGAGTAGCTTTAACCAGCCAGGAGGGACATGAATCTAGTTGGCAAGTGGTGGCATTGACCATTCAGAGGACCCTGTCCATTTCCTTGGGTTCAGCAGGATCAAACTGTTCCCAGAGAATAGCCATAACAACCCTGGGCATCTCTATAGACTATGCTGCGTGCTTGGTATCCAACTGGGACCGAATGCAAGCGATTCTATCCTCCAGATGCCCAGAAAACTTCTCTGCATGGCCCTGTAAATGGGCCACTGGGCCCCCCTTTCCCAAAAGTGATCAGGGCCACTGGGCGGCATTCTACAGATGCAATAAGAGCGGAGAAACGTTGGTGTTTCACCGCTCTTACCACCACAAGGTAGGCCTTAATCGTAGCTCTACTTGTGTTCGATCATGTTTGATCCTCGTTTTCCTCCAGCGGTGCTCTAGACTTCTCTTAATTCTTTTCAAGACCCTCAGCTCCTCCACGAACCACAGGGAGTATGAGGCTCAATGCGTTAGGAGAGGTCGTACAGGTGCGATCTTGTCCAAGGCCTCGGCCACCAGGGCCTCCAGTTCCTCCCAATCCAGGGCCTCCAGCCTCCATAGTTTGAGGACCCTGTATCCTATCATACATTAACACATACTCAATTGGGGGTGGGTGGGCTCCCTGGCACTACAGCTCCTACTCTCAGCACCATGGGAATCCTATCCCTCATTGCCTTCACCCACTGTGCCCCCTTCACCAGCTTCTCTCACCTGTTAGGGTGCACCTGTTCCATCTCCCCACTCACCCCAACTCTCACTCAGGGCGAGTGTCAGAATCCTCGCAATCATTTAACCACCTTACTTGCCAGCTTGCTTGTTTGCTTCGGTTCTGCCATTAGAAGACAAAGAAGGATCTGGAAGGATGGGTGAATGAAATGACCATTAGAGGCAGATGGACTGTTATCAGAGACTGAGGAATGCTCAAGGTCATACCAATGAGCAAGTGTGAGAAGTCTGGGAGGTTAGGGGGGTGCAAGGGGGAAAAGAAAAAAGGTAAAAGCAACTTTTGGCATGTACGGGCTCAGTCTTAGCAATGCTTTGGAACTGTACACTTGTTCTCAATAAATGAACTTTCTTTTGAACCATTATTGGTTGCAAGGAGAGTTACTAAAGTTATGAATTGTGAGTGGCAGTTTGTTACAATTTGCTAAAGGGAAGAAATTGCCCCAAGGAAAACTGTACACTTGTTCTCAATAAATGAACTTTCTTTTGAACCATTATTGGTTGCAAGGAGAGTTACTAAAGTTATGAATTGTGAGTGGCAGTTTGTTACAATTTGCTAAAGGGAAGAAATTGCCCCAAGGAAAGTCCAAAGGATCGCGTTGACTGGCATGCAACCGAGCAACAAGATGGCAGATGATGTAATAGAGGAGATAGAGGAGGCTCCCGGTCCCTCGGGAGTCCTGATAGAGGTTAGGGTTAGGGTTAGGGTTAGGGTGGCGTGAACCCGTTTGATGACAGTGGAGCTGGGAGCCAAGAAGGTTGGGAGTAAACCCAAGGAGATGACTAAGACAGAAAATGGGGTCACCGGGTGTGTTTCAAGTGTGGAGAGTCGGGCTATTTCACTGCTAGTTGCTCCCAAGGGAGTTTGGACACTGGAGGGAAGAAGACAGAGCGGAATCCGGTGAAGCCTCCGAAGCTGGGGAAAAAGGAGACCGCAGCTGCCAGTGCAGAGGCTTGGCTTCAGGGAGCCCTGGAGTTCGAGTCATCGGAGGGAGAGGAACAGCTGGCAGGAAACTAAAATCGCCTGCTTTAATACACACCCAAAAGCAGGCATCCTTCCCAGGGCGTGAAGATCAATCTGGGGATGAGTCAGAGAGTGAAGAAATGGGGGTGAGTCCCATCAACATCTGGGTGAAGCTGAGGGTATTGAGGACAAACCATAGGTCAGACTTGAGGGCTCTCATAGACTTGGGGTGTTCCCACTGCTTAATAAATCCCGCAATTGTTTGTAGGTTGGGTCTAAGGGTGAAGAGACTCAAAACCCCAGTAATCTTTTCTCAGTGGGGGGAGGTCCCATGGAATTTTGTACAGAGAAACTCGAGCTGAGGATGGGGACTCACCGAGAGACTATAAAATTCCTGGTGACTCCCATGCCAAAGGTCCCATGGAATTTTGTACAGAGAAACTCGAGCTGAGGATGGGGACTCACCGAGAGACTATAAAATTCCTGGTGACTCCCATGCCAACCCATCCATTAATCTCGGGGATGAACTGGCTGAAAAGGAGGAACCCCAAAGTAGACTGGGACAAAGGCAGTTTACAGTTCCCAAAAGGGGATGGTATGGGGGTGAGAGGATTGCTGAAAAGTCATCCCAGGTAGAGGTGGCTGCAGCGAGTGCGGAGGTGGCGAATTGGAGTGTAACTGGGGGTCCAGCTTTGATTCCGGAACAGTACCGAGACTTGGAAGTGGTTTTTAGTGAAAAG